ATATATATACACACACACACACATAAGAATGCATATGTACAACTCCGTCTGTACATATATATATATATGGTATGGTTTTTGTCCTCTAGGGCTGTATGTGTAGATATATCTGGAGCCTGATGGCTGCCGGCCAATGTAGACCTCCGTTTGTACATGTAGAGGCATTTGTGTACGCATGGATCCCTACATACTTGTGCATGTCTTCTTGTACGTATGCAGATATCGCTGTCTGATTGTCTGTCTACCAGTTTGTCTGTGTATCCATCAATAAATCTATCTATCTTGCTGTCTATTTTTCTGTCTCTTTGTCTACCTATCTACCTATCTACCTGTCTACCTATCTACCTATCGATCGATCGATATATCTGTCTGTCTATCCATCTATCTATCTGTCTATCTATCTGTCTGTCTGTCTATTTGTGTTTCTGTCTTTCTGTCTCCAAAGATCCATGAATCTATCGATGTATCGGACAATCTGCCGATCTATCTGCAAAAACATGTACACACACACACAGACACACTCACACTCCCCTCTCTCCCTCTCCATGTATGTTTACATTACATTTACACACACACATATATGTATATATATATATAATACACATACAACAAAAATTGCATGCATGTGTATGTATGCATGCCTTAGTTTACACATCGATGTGTGCGTGCACGATGGGTGTGTCTTGAACTAACAGTTCTCTGCACTGCACCGAATTTCATGGTACCTGCTCAGGTGGTTTTGGCTTCCTTGGAGCTCCTTGTGGCCATTTTGTGGGAAGAGCAGTGGTCGGAGGTGTTACTGGGCAGGTGGTGGTTTGAGGTTCAGGACTTAGGAAGAGTTTTGGGTAATTTAGGGTTTTAGGATTTTTGTCCATGCTCATGCAGTTTTTGATAATCTTCTTTTGGCTCTTTCTTCTGAGTCTGTAAACCGAACCTCTGCGTGCTTTGCAGGGAATCGAAAAGACACGCTAAGGTTGTCTCTGGACTTCTACTCCAACCTCATCGGCCAATTCTCCCTCTCAAACGTTTGGGTGCAAATCGAGCATCCCTTAAACGAGCAGTTTGAAGAGCGGTGCAGAAGCGAGGAATTCCGGAGGTCCTACGGAGGTTTGATCCAAGCTTGTCAGGAGGCTGTCCAGAAGGTCCGTGCCGCCAGCGAGGAGCCGGATCAGAAGAACCCGGAGGAGACGGCCCCAAGCAGGAAAGACAGTGAGGAAGCATTTTCTCTTCCCAGATTTGAGGGTAGTGCACTGTACCCCTGCGTTGCCCTGTCGAACCATTCATGTCAGCCAAACTTTACCATGCGCTACGCTGACGGCTGCTTTGCTGACATGGTGGCCCTGCGAAAGATCCGGAAAGGGGACGAGTTGAACCTTGCATATGTCTCTCCGTCCACACCGTTGCCGGAGCGCATCAGCACGCTGTGGAGGAACTGGGGCTTCGTCTGCACTTGTCCTCGCTGCCAAGAGGAGATGATGCTCCGCACCATGGAAGGGGACACGGCGAGCAAGGAGTCCACAGAGGCCACGGCCGGTTACCCGGGCGCCAACTTGGGAGTTCAGCTCTCGCCTGCAGGGCTCGCGGCAGCTTTGGCAGTGCGAAAGGCTCCCGCCGACACCGGTACTCTGTCCGAGACCGAGAGCAGCGACAGTGAAGGTGACACTGAGGGCGAAGACAGTGAGGAAGAGTCCTCCCAGTCAGTGACGAGCGAAGAAGATGCGGGCGTCAGCCGGGCACGGAACGCTCCTTTTAGCGGTCCGTTTGGGGCCACTCAGGTCCCCCCGAGCGTGAAAGTGCTCGAAGCAGCCATGCGCGACTTGGTTGCCGACATCGCAGACCAGGAGGCAGGCTAATCCGGCCGTAAGCACTTCGAATTCAAGACCTGGACACCTGCGGTGAAAATGCGTGTCCGTGCTATCTTTTGCAGTCTCACCATAGAAATCTCTCAATCCATACAGGGCCTGTACTTCCGTAAATTCCAGCAACAGTGAGGGTAAGTGAAGCATGAGGGTGGAAGCAAAACGAAGTGGTGTAGGTCTCGAAGTGGGAGTTCCCCCATTGAGTAATCAGCCCGAAGATCCGCTCAGGCCAGCCATACCTCCGCAGGCGGGTGCTCCTGGCGCTTCAACTTCGGGATTTTTGGGACTGGGGGTCCTTACAAGTCGCGAAAACACATCAGGCTTTCAGCAAGGGTGACTCTCAGCACAGCGAGGCCGTCCTGTTCCAAGCGGCAAGCGAGGGCGCTCCCGGGAAGTTGAAGCGAGCGCTGAGGCGAGACACCGAGCCGTTTTTCTGCAGCCTTCTGCAGTCTTCTCTTGTGTTCACTTGTATAAACCGGACACTGAACATTCCTGAACTGCAGATGGAATTGATCACGTGCTTCTAAGTAACGGGCTCCAGCTACAATCCCCTGCAAGTGTTCTTGGAACTACAGGGACCGGGCCGACCCAAATCTACGGGCGATTTCACGTTGTCAGAGCCCTGGCACTGCGCGGTACGCTGGTTTCGGGTCACCTTTTCTGGAGATTCACATATACACTGATGTGGGTCAGGTGCTCGGGAAGTCAGGGAGCACAGATGCTGCACATACTGGATCCTCCACTGCTGCTGGCCACTTAGGACTCCAAACCGTGGGATGAGAGGAAGAAGGGTAGCAAAGCATTAGTTAATCAACGACGTTAATTCCTTCATAGGTTCACGGATGAATCAGTTCATCAATCAACTACTCAGTCAATTAACTGACTAGCTGATCAGCTAATTACTTTGCCGAACTGTTGTTCAACTCTTTTCTCAGTAGTCAATTATGATTTATGGACGGATTCATGTATCCATCCATCAACCAATACATCAATCATACGATTAATCAATCTGTTCATCAGTTCAGCCGTTTAATCAATCAGCTAGCTAGCCAAGTACTCAATAGCAACCCACTAGTTAGTTAGTTCATTGTATGAAGGTAGTATGCATGTGCGTACGTATGTATGCATGTGGACGGATGGATGGATGGATGGATGGATGGATGGATGGATGGATGGATGGACGGATGGACGGATGGGTGGATCGAAGGATGCATGGATGGACGGATGGATGGATGGATGGATGGATGGACGGATGGAGGTATGCATTAGGATACCCTGTGCACTGTCGCGTGAATGCTGTCATTTTGTTTCTTCAAAATGCATGGCTTGCCACGGTTTCGTGAGATTGAGCCACATCCCTGAGAAGGTGCAGAAGTGAGAGTTCTCCCATGTTCAGCTTTACAGCAATAGCATCTTCCTCTTCGGAGTCCTTCGTCCAGCAAATTGAGGCACACGTCGCATGGTGGAGGAGAGGCAAGCACTCGCCGTAGTCCTCCAAGTCATTATTGTAGTTTTTGAGGCTTAAACCCTACCTGAACTGTAGCCCAAGATCTTGAGTACCTTTGCTTTCCGCAGTTGCACGAATCTCGGAGCAAAGGCGAGTGTGCCCTTCCAGTCGATGGCTGCGTTTGCTTGGGTTACACGCCGCTGCATTGTGCTGCCCAGGCTTCAGCACTGAGAGACGAAAGGGTTTTGGACTTCCGATTCATTGTGTTCCGGATTCGTGAGTGTTAGGGGATTTGCTCTTGATTGCGGCGGGGGGGGGGTCTCGCGGGTGTTCGGCGCTTGTGTCGCTTGAACGACATATGCCATTGCTGCTTGCTTCGTCGGACTCAGAATTTGAGGCGTCCCCGTAAGAGCTGAAGTTGATTCCACTTTCGCCATGAGCCTCCAGCCATCCGAAGCCTCAAGTCTCGAAGGCCTTGAACTCAGAGCTTCTATCTCAAAGGTCTTCATACTTCATGCTGTGTCAGATGTTTAAGCTCGAAACCTTGAACCCAACATTTCAAGATTTTTGGGCCCCTCTCTAAGCCTGTGCCACCGACAAATCTGTTGGCACCCGACAGACCAGAGCCCCAGCTACGGTCATTCAGGCAGGCTGCGATGAATGTGTAGCACTGCTGGTGCGTGAGGGGGCGGAAGTGCCCCATCCTGAGTTTAGGTTCCAGGCGCGACGTCTTTAGTGTGGATTGGAATGGTTTTCGAAATGACAGCGAGGACTTTTTCAAGCGCTTCAGGGCACGTTTCAGGGCTTCGGACATGCTCCTTTGCTCGAAGATGGTTTTCTGAAGCAGAGCATTCAGGCAGCCTCGGTGTTGGCCACATCAGGTCGCTGCAAAGTGGGCGAATCCGCTTCCGTATCCAAACTGCCGACGGCCAGGCCGTTGGTCCATGTCGGGTTAGCCTTGCGGCCTTGAAGCGCGTTCGTAGCGCTTGGCATCCTTCCGGAAAACTTTCGTCTCTACCAAGCTCATACTGCCAGAGTTTGCATATGCAGACGCTCACAGATCGCAGAGCCCCAAAGCTCTAAGCCCCGCGCTAGAGGAATGAAGGAATGCCAGGTCCCAAACTGGTGCATCCGAGCTACACTGAACAATACGTGGTATTGGAGAACGAGATGCCCCAAAACACAACTCCCTAAGGCCTGAAGCTAAGCGGCGCAACGCTCTGCCAGCTCTCCGAAGCTGTTGCTGATGGCTTGACGCCGCTTCATGTGGCTGTGGCCTGCGGCCATGTCCAGGCCATGCAGTTTTTCCTGGGAATTTCGGTGTATTTCGGGCTTCGGGCTAAAACGGCTTGAAAGAAATCTTCTGGGCTGTCAGAACTGGACATCGCATACACGAGCCCCTGATTGACGAAGGCTGCGTGAAATTGGTTGACATTGTTCCCAAGTGCCCATGTCATATGCCTATGGCCGATGCATAAGCACATGAAGCTACTTGCATCAGATCTGCTGGCCACAGCATGACTTGCATTACTACAAACTTCGCGAGCGGTGTGCTCTTCGGGTATGATGAAGCATAGTTCAAGGCCTGCAACTGACCAAGGTGATTCGGGCTGTCTTTGTGTCAGAGTGTAGCACATGCCGGAATACGAATCAGCGACAGTTCCTGAATGTACGATGAAGTTAGTTACCGAAGCCAGCAGACACTGGCTTGCCGTGCCTGGTCTGCAAGGTTGCGAGGGTGCTACTCCAATCTGGGGCAGACAAGCTCTCAGCTTCTCGAAAATTTGCAACAGTGCAGGGTTTCCTGTGAATTCCCCTCCGCTGGGCTAGGCTCCCATGTGCTTGGCTGGCCCTGCGCTATTTCGATACTGAGAGACCAGGTCTTCGCCTTCGTGCTTTACCAAGGACGTCCGCCAGGAGGCCAGAGAGCCGAGAAGGACGGCGATCGGAATTGCCGACATGGCCTCAGACATTCGAAGTTCCGAAGTGCTGCAAGAAGCTTGCTTGTCATGTGCCGGTCCTGGTTTGAGCTGCTGAGTATTCCTTGCAAACTCACTCGAGTGCCCCCCCCCCCCCCCCCCCCGCCCCCCGCACCTCGCACCTGAAACTCAATTTGAGAGTTTGTACTGAGCTGTAAGTGCAGAGTGTCAGGAGTGGGCTGGACAACGATCTTTACTCGAGCTGTTACGCGATGCTGCACAGGAGCAGGCAAGCAGGGCAGTGCAACACTGCAGATTATTGCGGCGATTGTGGCGGGAATGCAAGCATGCAAAAATATGTACAGTTACGTATAGCATGATGTATGCATGCATGTTTGCAGATACGTATGTTTGTGTTTCAGTCTAGTCTAATCCGTTCGTACGGGCCGCCCGTTACCCTGTCGGCATCTTCGCCGCATTCGTTCTCACAGCATCTGCAAACAGCAGTTGTGGCTGTGATCCATGGTCGGTGAGCATTTCAGAATCATGCTCGCGGCAAAGTAGTCTTGCAGTTGCCAGGCTTCATGACAGTGTTGACTAAGCCCAGGCAGTATACGTGAAAGCCTGAATTTCGGTACCCTCGGCGCCATGTTCGCTCAGAGGCCAGACCTTTTTCAGCAAAGCGATGCCAGTGGTCTTCGCCACCTACTTGGCCACTTGCTCCTACTGAGCCTAACGGCTACCTTCGTGGTGCTATCTGCCACGACTACTTCTACCTTCGTTTTAATCTGTTGGCCCATTGCTGTGCTGTTACATGGCATTGTGCTTTCACATCTCTACATGCCTTTCCACGAATCGACGCACTCAACCGCCTTTGAGAGTTCCAGCCTTTGCTATTTGGTTGCGTGGCCACTCGGGGTGCTAATCTTCATGAATGCCGACTCCTTCAAGTGGTTTCACCGGGAGCACCACGAACAAACACAGGTAGAGGGCCGTGACCCTGAGCTACCAGGTGCGAATGGGTCACTGAGCAACTACCTGAACAAGCTATTTGGCGGTGAGATGGCGACGGCACTGTACCACTTCGGACGCTCAGCCTTGCTTGGCGAAAATGCAGAGGGGCCATGGGTGCCGCAGGAGGCACGGCGAGGTGTCGTCATCTCGACGCGCTGCCAGTGTGCTGTATACTTGCTCTGCCTCTTGCTTGCTGCAGCCTCTTCAGCCGCGCGCTGGTGGTTGATCAATGTTTGGCTGCTCCCACTCCTAGTGGGGCAGCCAGCCTTGTGGGGTCACTTCATTGCCCAGCACACAGCCACCGACCACGACAGAGATGCAAGGCACACTGCTCGTGTTGTGCTTACGCACCCGGCATACCAGTGGTTGTCCTGGAACATGAACTACCATGCAGTTCACCATATGCACCCTCGCATCCCCTTCCATAAACTCCCTGATGCCTTTGCTGCCTCGGAAGGATGTTTCAAACATGTCGAGCGCAGGGGATATCTTCATGCTCACGCGACAGTGCTCCGAGCAGCCCTGGCAGTGGGCCAGTAGCACGGAGTCGGTGCGACCTGCAAGTCTTTAGCGTGAACAAAACGTTGCGAGTGTTCAGCTTTAAGGTGGTGTTCTCTGCAGCGGTTGAAGCACAGGGACACCATGAAACCGCTGATGTTGGGCCTGTCGCTGCTCTCTGAGGTCAGAAGGCTGGCAGCCGAAGTGCCCCAAGCCCAGCCAGGCTGGCAAGCGGATTCGTCCATCTAGCCCTCCTGTCAGGGAGACTTCTGGGCAAACAGTGCCGTAGCGCTAGCCAAGAGCCGCTGGAGCGGAGATCTCGGGCCAGTGTCTTTTTTCGCCTCAGTTCCGTCCTTCTTCGCATCCGGGTCGAGGCCTGTCCCTTCGCCCCATCCGTGCTCTGTCGCATGTTTCCGTTCTCTTTGTTTCCATCCAATTGTGCACGCATCCTTCCAGTTACTATTACGAAGCTCGATGGATCGCAGGTAGGTTGTCGGATCACCAGTACTAGGGCTACTAGGGTTTGGCTTAAGCTTGGTCGGGTGAGTCTAAGGCTGGCAGATCTTGGGGTCTTTGAGATTCTACAGCTCAGTGAGCGTTGTTTTCTGCAGAAGTCTTACAGAGTGATGGTCGGCACATTGGCTTCAAGCTTGAACCAGTGTTTTCCGCACAGCCTGAGCGCAGTCTCCCCAACTGCACGCCGTGAAGCTGCAGAATCCAAAAGTTCTCCATCTGCTTGGCGCAGTGGACGAAGTCCAGGAAAGGTAAGGATACACAAGACACCCCAGAGAGTAAAGGCAGTTTGAAGTCCCAAGTACCGAGCTCAGCTCTGTGAGTCCTGGGCCACGCGATGCTCTTCCTGGAAGCGCAGCAACGCCGCTCTGTCTGTAAACTGGGTGTAATGGTCAGGCGACTTTATGGGTTTGTTTGAGAGATTGATTGTGGGTCTCTTGAGGGATGCTTTCCGGAGGATGCCTCGGAGTCTGTTTATGAGTCCAGCAAAGGCTTTCAGCTCTTCAGCTTTCATGGAGAGTTCCCAGCCAGGCCAGCCGATTCTCCTGACGACTCCCAGGCGCCCGCAGTTAACTTGGAGCTTATCCGCTCACTTTTGGGGCTGAGCTCGGCGTGCATTCTTGTGAAAAGCAAGCCATGTCCACGTAGCACACCTTGAGCATATGTGTGAGAAAAGTCGGGTGTGCAACCTGAATCCTGGGCTCCGAACAAGAGTCCACCCCCATGTGCTCGCGTTTTGCACCTTCAGATCTACAAACTCCGCGGGCCCAGCATCTCCCAAATTCCAATCCACCGTTGTTTCTTCAGGGCCGTTTCGGGCACACCGGAAATGGTCGAAACTTCAACCCATTCAAGCTTGTCTGCCAGGCTTGAAGCCATCCGGCAGCGGATCAGGCGAAGAGAACGCCAGCGAAAGAAGCAGGACGGACCAGAGTTCAAGGGACGGGCGACTCACTACATGGCTTTCGGTCTGTCTGTCGAGGTCTCCTCGGAGACTTCCTCTCCGCCGCGGCGCCCGTGAGCCTGGTCGGGCAGGGTTTAGGGTCCCTAGCAGGTCTGTCTAGGTATACATGATTATATACGTATGTATAGGCAGCCAGCAAGGCAGACAAGGCCAGATCCAGGGACACCTGGGCAACGGGAGAGATGTGTGGATGAATCAGTTTAGCTATTCAGGCTGCGCTTAGCAGCATGTGAGCTGCATGAAGCTGGGAGCACATCTTGGAGGGGAGCCGCAAGTGTGCGAAAAGGACGCCTGATTGCACGGCCGACCACTGGCTAGCGCAATTTGGCAGGAATTTAGCAAACCCAGGAAGCTTGGGGTGGAATGCGCAAGCCCTTCGAACTTCTGAACTGCACTCGAGGGATTTATTCAACTTTAGCCGCTAAGCCGATGGAAATTGTATGCCGTCACGCAGTGGTCTACTCTGCATCACTCTCTTCATTCAACCGGCATCTTCTTCTTCTTCATCATCATCATCATCTGCATCTTCATCTTCATCTGCTTCTTCATCATCATCATCACCATCGTCGGTGTTTTCGGCATTAGTGTCGTCTTCGTCTTCATTACCTGTCATGTAGTGGTTTGTCGTCTTGATGTCGAGTCCTGTTGGTGTCTGAGTGCGTGCGTTTGTTTTTGTCATCCCGATGACCCTCCCCAGCCTTTCCCGCGTCTGTAAGATCATGAAGAGGCTGACCACCGTGGCCGCGCGAGATGGTACATAAGGACATAAGGGTCGCGATGTGATGATGGTGATGTAGGTGATGACGATGATGATCATCAAGATGACGAGAGTGGTTGTGGTCATGGTCAGAGCACTGTCCTGGCCATTGCCATCCTCATCGCAAGCCATCCTTAATCATTCTCGGCTTCACTCGCACTCAGGATGACGAAGAAAAGTATGATCGCCATGGTCGCCGACATCACCATCACCATTATGATCATCGTCATCGTCATCGTCATCGGCAGCACTGCAGCGCAGCAGTGCAGCAGCAGAGGCCAACTCACAAGTCACTGCCAGGAGTAAGTCGCGGCATGGCCGTCTTGCGTGCAATCCAGAAGTGAAGTTTATGCTGTCATCTCAGCAGTTCTGGACCACAGCAGCAATGGCAGTGGTAGCAGCACCACACGCGAGCACAGCCGTTTGCGCAACAGATCTGACCTATGACCAACCCTCACCGTCTTTTGCGCAGCATGTTGGAGTACACCGGGCACAAACGTGTTCCCGGATAGGTGGTGGCCGTCAGGCCAAAAGCCGTAGTCAGTAAGCTTTCAGGTGGCAGCACCTGACAGACCAACACTCTTCGCAGGTCGCTGCCGGGTCACGTGACCCAACAGCAAGTAGTCCTTGCACTGACCCAAGCCGACAAACCGAAACTTGCCACCAGACACGTTTCCCCGGGCCATGGAAGAGGCTGAGGCTTCTGAATGGCAGGAGAGACATGGTGTGATGTCTTGACGCTTTGGCACGGCTGCTTAGGGTAAGAGGGGTCTAAGACTAGCCAAATTCTGTGTTGGTTCCAAGCATCTGTGGTGGTCTTCCATGTGGCTAGAAGGAGCATACCATGATCGGAAGCTATGGTACGAGAATCATTCACCCGCCCACATTCAGCATCAGAGGAGCTTCAATTCAATCGAAACGGCAAAAGCCTGGACCCTGCAAGCAGGCGAACCTTGTATCGGGTCAACATGTAGGTTCATATCAGCATGTAGATTCAGAGCGGACTTGAACTGCGATTTCCCTTGCAGCATGGGGCCATGTGCAATCCCAATCACTCCTTGCGCCTATACTCTGCCCCCCCCGCTAGCCAGCACCCCAGTTCCCTCCGAAAATACAAAAAACCGCCAAACCCGCCCCGACCTCAACCACCCCAGCCTCAAGTTTCCTCAAGGCCTGCTTATGCTACTCCGCATACAACACCCCAGACAAAATTGTACGGCCAAGAACTCAACAAGCCAACCATATATATATATACATATACATACATACACACACACACACAAACGCACACATTTCAGTCATAACCCACCCCATAAGCTCAACCAGCCAGGCAACACCAGGCCTCAACTCGCAACCTCAACCAATCACGATAAGATATTACATAGTTTTATGTAAGATTTATCCCGCAAGTGAAGCGAACCCCTCTTGTGTAGTCTTTATTAAGTTCCATGATGTACAGCATAAAGCCCACGCCACCTATATAAAAGTTTGATCGTCATAATGTGGAGCGGATTGTGTCAATGAGCCAACCAATCCACAAAAATAATCAGACAGCTGCTAGGGCCCGGCTCTGGGTTTTGGGATGCTTCGGTTAGGGATGGGGTTGATTCTGGCCCACTTGTGCCTACGTTAGCACCTCAACCAGCCTCCACAGCACTCCTGTTGAGTCCGGTTGTGCCGAGCCGCCGGCCAGTCCAAATCTTCGGAGGAGTTTCTTCAAACTTCAAACCCTCATCCGGGTGTCGTGAGAACCTTTTGAAGCTTATGAAGCAGGCACGTCATTATAGGTTTTTGCATTTCATGTTCTGTGCATAGCTTGGGGTTCTGTCAGGAGATGGTGCCTGCTCCCCCTCCACCAGATGTGGAGACTGGTGGCAGCAGCAGCTCCATGACTGTTACAAGCATCAGGACAATCCACAGATGTTTGGATGCAGAGGTTTGCTGAAGTAGTCCCAGGAAGTCCGGTTTGGCAGTTGCTGGCGGCCACTTTGCAGCTCCCCAGAAAGCTAAACAGAATCATGCCTTTCGACGCAACTCGGATATTCCATCGGAGCTCGGGATCACGAGGTTCCTGCGCACCGGCTCCGCTGGACGTCGGGGAGGAAGAGGGGGGCGGTCTCCAGGTTTTGGGGTTTGGGAGATCTGCTTGGCTTTGGTGGGTTTGAAAAGCAAGTTTGAGAGGTGGAGGCGGTAGAATGCTAGCTATTTAAGTCGAGTACGGAGTGAAGGGAGGGGGGGGGGGGTTGGGCTTCGGGAACTTCGGGTTGTGGTTGTGGGATCTTCTTGCTTTTTGTTGCTGTTAAGACGAGGAAGACTAGATGGCCGACAAGTGGCAGGAACTGTCGCAAGCCGTCTGTGTTGCACAGCGAGGGCAGTGATGGAACAGAGAACCGGATGCACTTCCAAGACATTGGATAATGCGCCATCACAAGCACTCCATTTTGATGTCTTGAAAACCGGGATGGATGGATGGATGGATGCATGGACGGATGTATGTTTGTCTGTATGTATGAAAAGATGGGTGGTGAGGTAGAGGTGTGCGAAGATACACACGCATACATCCTTGATCAGGACCGGCATAGAGACAAGGACGAGGACGAGTATCAGGAAGAGACCATGGTCGACTGCGATGACGACGGCACTAGCGACAATGATGGCGGTGGTGGCTTCGAACGGCGACGACCACTTGTAGCGGTCAAAAAGCAGGAAGATGAAGGACATGAGCGAATAAGACCGGCGGTGATCATACATAACTTCATGACGTCGTGCGGTGGATGATGACACTTGTTGAGCTCGGGTCTGCAGTCGCGCAGCAAGCGAACGCGTGGAGGTCTCGTATTGTTCTACCACGTGGATAGTGGAAATGCAGGCCGAAACACCCCTGCGCCATCTTCTCCAGTGGCTGCGGGACGAGGCGGGGGTTGCGGGGCGCGCAGCGTCCTCTCTAAAAGTGAAGGTCGAGCTCGACCCATGCAACGTGTCCTTGACATAGAAGGGCTTGGAGCCTGCAGGGCTGTCCAGTTCTCACGTCCTTCGAAGCTGCCCCTGCGAGCCCAAATTCTTGGAAGGCGTTCATCGAAGTTGTTGCGGAGTGGTCCTGGGACGTGTGCATGGAGTGCCTCAGCCGCAGTGGAGCATGCACGGTCCTACGGGCATCATTTGAGAAGCTCGAAGCTTCCAGATGGCTGCCGCCCGCTCTGCAGGGCCTCGGGCATACAAGCCTTCCACACAGTAGGAGCTTCAAATTCGACTGGTTGCGCCTCAGGTTTCCCCGTGATGGAAGTCTTCTGACACAGATCGAGCATCCTCTGAGATACACAGAGGCAGGGCTTCGAGTCTCCGACTGTATAATATGTTGCTAGCTGCAGGCATGAGATGCTTATCCTCGTCAGAGACCTTGACTTGACATGCAGTTACACCCAAGTGTTGTGGCAGCACACCGAGAACTCGCCACCAGCACGCTCAGCGCGATTTATTTGGGAGGCTCACCAGGAATACCGACAGCTTTTTGAAGCCAGAGCCGAGCAGTGCGTCCAGTTTGAGCAGGGCTTCGGATAGCTTCAAGCGGTTCGGGTTTTGCATTGTCGCCCAAGGGTGCTCTGTTGAATGTAAAATACGATTGAGGTGGCCTTTGGTCAGTGCCCTGGCCGCTAGACTTGGAGCGTGGCGTATTGGGGCCTGAGCGTTGAATGCTTGACGGCGCTGGCAGCCGGCACCGGCGCCCAAATCCATCGTCTCTGCTCCATTCGGAGGGGTATTAACCAGCTTATGTTTCGCTGCACATGTGCAATCCAAGCACTTGCAATCAAATGTCCATGCTTTCGGCAGGTACTTGCAGTACTACGGCTTGAATCTGGACCCAGGGCTCCAGGTTTTCAACTTCAGGGCCGCAATGGAAGTTTTTCCTGATCGCTTCCGCCATAAGAGGTAGTTGCCCCCTGGTTTACATCATTCTGCATTCCCGAAACTCAGGCTTCGGATCGTTTACGACTGAGTGTCGTCTATGAGCCGCCTGAAAAAAGAAGGGTTGTGTGATGGATTGATTGGTTAAGGGTTTCTCGTTTTGAGGCTTCGTTGGTATCGCATTGAGGGCTGAGGTCATGGACCGTGAAGTTCTTTGGCCCCTGGCCGTGTGCCACGGGCTGTGTGGTTGCACTGCTTTCCCAGAGTCCGACGAGAAGCCCCGTATCTGGAGTTTCCAGAACCCACGAATGTTTCAACCCCAAGCCCTCTGCGAGCGCCACTTTGCAGGAAAACTTTCTTCAGCTAGCCGTGGATTACTTGGTCGTGCCGACATGTGATTACCTGATTCCGAAGCCGATGGTTCAACGTGCATAATAATTATGCACCTTGGCCTATTGCTTGGTGTGTTGTGAAAGCTGGTTGACAGAGTTGAGCAGCAGGTGAGTCGGCCAAAAGCTCCCACACAATCATCATCCTCATCATCGTCATCATCATCATCCTCATCATCATCCTCATCCTCATCATCATCATCGTCATCATCTTCATCATCTTCATCATCAACAACATCAGCATCAACATCAACATCAACATCAACATCATCATCATCATCATCTTCATCTTCATCTTCATCTTCATCTTCATCTTCATCTTCATCTTCATCTTCATCGTCATCATCATCGTCCTCGCCGCCATCAGCAATGTCACAGGGATGATCATCAACACAAGCTTTTTCCATCGTAGCCGTATCAAATCATCTTGTAATGCCAATAAGGCCGTGTCCAACGATGATGTCCATACTGGTAGAAATTTCGATGCTTTGTGGCGGGGGCTTCGAGAACTTCTAACGGTCTAGCGGCTAGCGGATGAGTTGTGTGCGTGAAGCATGAGGATACGGGGTGCTAGGAACGACGAATTGGGTAGACTTTTTCCCAGTTCTCAAGCAAACGCGCAAGGCGCTGAGCAACCATCCCTAGGCCCTAGGCCCTAAACCCGAAAACACCCCGAGCCAGGATGGCCGGCATTCCCTGAGTCGTGGGGAAGATGATATACTGGAAGGGCTGGTGGCCTCGGAGAGTCGGCATCTGAGCTTCTGTCTGAGGTTCCTTGCGGCTTAAAGGGGCTGCTTTTGAGGGCTTTGATCTTTAGTCCAAGTTGTTTCGGGCTTGCAGATAGATCGTCTGCTAGAGCATCTAGCTGTTCATCCCGTTTAAGAAAAGTTCTCCTTGTCAGCCCATCGTCAGCACCACCGTCATTACGATTATCAAAACGAGTAGTAGCAGGCAGACGAGCCAGCAAAAAGATAGCGCAGACACTTCCGCTACTCGGTTTATGTTTATATTTATATACGAATATATACATATGTATTGCAGAATACATGTATTAAAATATTATATATGTACTAGGTTGTAACTACATTACATTGCATTGCATGGCATTATATTATGCTATATTGTTGTGTCTGTGTTTTCCCTGTATTATGATCCATCTTATCATGCTATATTCTATGGCGTTATATGATATGTTCTATTATATGACAATATATTAAAAGAATATTCAAATACATATTATATAGAAACATATGATTACATATATTATACTAATTCATTTGAAATGGGGTTTGCTTTGTTACATTATATTGCATTTTACAAAGGCTCGTGTTGACTTCACTTCCAAGTTTCCATCCGTCAGTTGTGCTGGTTTGTCAGTGTTCTGCAAGAGGTCGCCATCAAGGCCAAGGACGAAAGATTCGTAGGCGCTGCCAGCTCCAAGCCAACCGCAACCGGAGGCTACTCTACCTTCTTCATCTATATGTGTGCTTGCCCAAGATGGCTGGGTTCAGCATCGCTCGGGATTTCCGAAGGGGATTATATTACTCGTAGCCGGCTTCAGAACGTTCTCTGGTGATGCAGGGGTTTAGGGACATGTGTTGAGAGCGCTGTGGCTGAATTTGTTGAATACAGCATTCGATGAAGAGACCTGTCTAAGAGATCTGCCAGTGCTTGCAGACTCCAACCGGGGAGGCATCAGTCATAGCAGTCGAGCAAGAACTGACGGAGATGATGTGAATCAAGTCAAGCACTGTCACGGTGAGCGGGGTCTCGAATCTCGCGGCGAGGCTCCGTCCGTCGGCGTCGGGAATGGGCCGAGAGGACACAGGGCTTCGAAGGTCAAGAGCATCGACGCTTTCTTTGTGCTAACCCCTCCCGCCGTCTGAAGAATTGAAGGACCATGTGCAGCGCGCGCGATGAAATCGACTGGTCATGCTCTCGGCGTCAACCGGAAGTTAATGATGAACATTCGTGTCTGCGACCCTGCAGCACAAATCACATGCTGCCACCATGAGAACAACAGATCGACGGTCTGTGGCCGTCGGCCGTTGCAGGGCTCTGACGCTCCAGAAAATGTCAACAGACTCTCGGAAGAACGCTGAGACTTCATAACTTCCAAAGCGTTGCGATAGCCGGTCCCCTTGCAAGAGTTGCTAGCTGCACTTGACTCCATATACAGATCCTATCAAGCCAGCAGATTCTGAAGGAAGGCTCATCTCTCTTCGTCCTTTCTCAACAGCCTGAGCCCTGCGCCCAAGTCTCGATGAAATCGACCCCAAAACACTCAATACATGAATCTTGAAGCTGATCGCACTTCACGCTTGTGTTTCTTCTACAGGTCTGAGCTGATGAGACAGGCCCTGAGACGGGACCTCGGAGACGTGACGGTGTCAAGCTCAGAGCGTTGCAGAGCATCTGTACTTGTACGTTTACTATAGTGGCTGCTGACACAATTATTTTCAACTGGTCATGTGCCTGCTCATACATATAGGATGCTGATGAAGCTCATTGTTCCGAGCGGCAAGCTCAATGACTCAAGCGACTTGTGTTTGTCAGGTTGGAGACGACTCTGACATTGAGTGCCTGGAGTGATTGAGGCCTTGATCGGGTAGGCAACACAGGCTCCAAACAGCTGCTCGGTCTCTGTCGTTCCCTTGGGCTCTCCTACATGGACACGTGCGCTTTGAGTCAAGAATACATGTAGTTCGAGCACAGGGTGCAGCCACTGACTGGGACAGGTCCAGAAAATTTGTGGGAAGCGGAGTGTGGCTAAGTATGCTGCCTGCTCCGACCTGCACTGGCACCACAGGTTTTCAATCCAGGTTCACATGTTTGCTCAACAAAAGTACCTTCCTTTATCTGGAGGTAATCTGCTTATTGTACATCGAGCACTATGCCCAAAGTGCGGTGAAATTTCGGTGCATGCGACGCTGCTAGGGTCGTTGTGCTTTGTCATTGAATCATTGGTGGTTTTGTGTAGCTCACCCAAGAAGGTGGCTGTGCCAGTACAGATGGAGTGATCGCTGTAGCCGCTAGCTCTGCCGTACGCAGAGGTAGCGCAGGCTGCCTGCTCGATGGCCCCGAAGCAGTTGTATACTGCATCATCAATATTCTCTATGCAGTGACATGGTGGATACTGAGCCGCATACTGAATCTCATTCGTCTGCAGCGTTTTTTTGTTTTTGCGCGGAACATGCGAAGCACCAAAGGCACAATAAGCATAGTACTGATCGCAGCTAATGATTGGGAACAGTACAGTTTCAAAACACAACTCCACTTCGCGACGACAACCTCTGCTAAGCCCCGCATTTGTCTTCATTGTCATCTTCAGCATCATCTCTATCTTCAGGCCACCACTCATTATCCCGCCCATGACCTCCTATGCTAGTGCTCACAAAGGGGCATGAATGCTACTCATGACATCTCATGACTGAGATGACTCAATCATAGCCAGTAATGGCATCCTGTTGCATCGCTCGACACAAGGACCTACCGACCCGCACCTGCGTCGAACGCAGCGCTGCCTGCAGGGCGGAAAAGTGACAGATCATCGCGAAGTTGCATGTATGGGCAGTTTGTCATGTCTGGGCAGATGGTTGCAGCCTTTGGACTTAGGACGCTGTTTGGAAACATAAATCATGTAGAGGTATCGTTAACCCGGCAGGATTCAAAGCTTCATTCGCAACGCGTTTCAACGGTTTCAAAGCTGGGGCTGGGAGCCTCTGTTCAAGGATAGAAGGCCGAAAAGGGTGTTTACTTAGATAGTGAATACACCTTAGCCCCAGGTGATGGCCGCCCATGTCAAGGTGGACTAGGGGTGTGGACAGTTTTCAATACGTTTCGGTGCCTTTTTAAATAATTTATGATAATAGGGGCTACAAGGGCATACTCATTAAGACTCATTCTTAGAAGCCTCGTCGTATCTTTTTGTCTGTCCTCGCGTCCGTGGCTCAAGTTTCCCGTTCCAATCCCCATGGAGTGTTCGAAACTAAGGTTTGTGAGTTTCCCTCCTATTCCGTCTCTAAACGGGT